GATTAAACAAACCCAAGAAATATGATTGGAAGGACAGCAACCTTGCTCTGTTTGGTTCTGACACAGAAAAGGCAGTGAAAAGTAAGTTCTTTCAGTGTAGAAAATTGCATCTTAAAAAGTATTAGTGTTTAATTCCTTGTCTTCTTAGTTCTTTTAATGTAGGAAGTAGTAACTTTAAACATCATTGAAGAAATTTAAAGACGCCTAAGTAATATTATATTAATCTGGTGAATAGTAACTTTAAATGTCATTGTAGAATGTGATAGATACCTAAGTTCTTTCAAACTGGGAAGTAGTAACTTTAAACTTCATTGAAGAAATTCATAGACGCCTAAGTTATATTAATATGGTGAATATGATTTTCACTATTCAGCCGAATACAAATAGTGGGACCAACTATTCGGCCGAATACAATTACAAATACAAATAGGGTATCATCATCATCAGTTACCTTGCCGACTAGCGTAGGCGATCATGCCTCTCCACAATCTGCTATCTCCTGCAGCATGTATCAGTTCGTGTGCTGAAAAACATCCATACCATGCAACAAGACTGCCAAGAATCTTCTCCTGTTGTCTTCCTCTATCCCTCCTTCCACAGATCTTTCTAGCAACAAGACTGTCAAGAATCTTCTATCGTTGTCTTCCTCTATCCCTCCTTCCACAGATCTTTCCAGTGGTCACCAAATGTTCCATTTTCCCTCTTCTCATAACATGGCTGGAAAATGACGACTGTCTCCTTCTGATGTCTGTGATTAGTTGCATTCGGGCTCCCCCCCCCTTTCAAAACCATCGTTTGCTCGGCCGTTTGTTCGATGTAATTTTAATGCACCTTCATATTCTCGTTAGCAATATATTCAAATTTGATTTTGGCGAAGACACCCTGAAAGAATAAAAAATGCATGATCTCTCTCCCTCTCCCTCTCACACACACACAATCACTCACACACACACACACTGCAGTTGGCATTTTATGCAGTTTGTACCACGCAACCAGGTCGTAGTTTCCCCCGCTACGACAGACTTAGGCAACAGCACAACTATTGTGTTAATGAGAGAGTTGTTTCAGTCCATCGCAGTGTATGCAGGAACGGGAGTAAGGTAACCACTATTCGTATTCGGCCCGACCCCAACTATTTGGCCAAATACCGAATAGTTATTAGGTCCACTATTCAGCCCCGAAGTGAATATGAAGCGAATATTCGGTACAGCCCTAGTGAATAGTACCTTTAAATGTCATTGTAGAATTTGATAGATACTTGAGTTCTTTCAGACGAGGAAGTGGTAAACTTTTAAACATCATTGTAGAATTTCATAGACGCCTAGGTTATATTAATATGGTGAATAGTAACTTAAATGTCATTGTAGATTTTGATAGATACCTAAGTTCTAATATAACAAACAACTCAATATAGCATTCATTGACCAAGAAAAAGCCTTTGACAGGGTAGAACAGGAACAAAATATGGAATATATTGAACGACTATGAGTTACTAGATAACACATCAGATCTCTGTACCAAACAAGCTCAAGCGTAAGTTAGAACAAATGTTGGTGTGACAGACGAATTCATACTAAGAACAGTTGTAAGAAAGGTCATTGAAGAATTTGATAAATACCCACTATTCTTTCAAACTAGGAAGTTGTAACTTTAAACGTCATTGAAGAATTTGATAAATACCCAAGTTCTTTCAAACTAGGAAGTTGTAACTTTAAACGTCATTGAAGAATTTGATAAATACCCAAGTTCTTTCAAACTAGGAAGTTGTAACTTTAAACGTCATTGAAGAATTTGATAAATACCCAAGTTCTTTCAAACTAGGAAGTTGTAACTTTAAACGTCATTGAAGAATTTGATAAATACCCAAGTTCTTTCAAACTAGGAAGTTGTAACTTTAAACGTCATTGAAGAATTTGATAAATACCCAAGTTCTTTCAAACTAGGAAGTTGTAACTTTAAACGTCATTGAAGAATTTGATAAATACCCAAGTTCTTTCAAACTAGGAAGTTGTAACTTTAAACGTCATTGAAGAATTTGATAAATACCCAAGTTCTTTCAAACTAGGAAGTTGTAACTTTAAACGTCATTGAAGAATTTGATAAATACCCAAGTTCTTTCAAACTAGGAAGTTGTAACTTTAAACGTCATTGAAGAATTTGATAAATACCCAAGTTCTTTCAAACTAGGAAGTTGTAACTTTAAACGTCATTGAAGAATTTGATAAATACCCAAGTTCTTTCAAACTAGGAAGTTGTAACTTTAAACGTCATTGAATAATTTGATAAATACCCAAGTTCTTTCAAACTAGGAAGTTGTAACTTTAAACGTCATTGAAGAATTTGATAAATACCCAAGTTCTTTCAAACTAGGAAGTTGTAACTTAAAACGTCATTTGATAAATAGTTCTTTCAAACTAGGAAGTTGTAACTTTAAACGTCATTGTAGAATTTGATAAATACCCAAGTTCTTTAAAACTAGGAAGTTGTAACTTTAAACGTCATTGTAGAATTTGATAAATACCCAAGTTCTTTTAAACTAGGAAGTGGTAACTGTAAACTTCATTGAAGAATTTGATAAATACCCAAGTTCTTTCAAACTAGGGTTGTAACTTTAAACGTCATTGAAGAATTTGATAAATACCCAAGTTCTTTCAAACTAGGAAGTTGTAACTTTAAACGTCATTGAAGAATTTGATAAATACCCAAGTTCTTTCAAACTAGGAAGTAGTAACTTTAAACGTCATTGAAGAATTTGATAAATACCCAAGTTCTTTCAAACTAGGAAGTTGTAACTTTAAACGTCATTGAAGAATTTGATAAATACCCAAGTTCTTTCAAACTAGGAAGTTTTAACTTTAAACGTCATTGTAGAATTTGATAAATACCCAAGTTCTTTTAAACTAGGAAGTAGTAACTGTAAACGTCATTGAAGAATTTGATAAATACCCAAGTTCTTTTAAACTAGGAAGTAGTAACTGTAAACGTCATTGAAGAATTTGATAAATACCCAAGTTCTTTCAAACTAGGAAGTTGTAACTTTAAACGTCATTGAAGAATTTGATAAATACCCAAGTTCTTTCAAACTAGGAATTGGTAACTTTAAACGTCATTGAAGAATTTCATCGTTGCCTAACTCTATAAAAAGAACCTGCTGATTGATGATGAGGGCTTCCAGGTCAACCCAGGTGAAAATGGGCACTACAAAATGTCCTGCAAGCTTAATGTTGACCATATCATCCACTGTGTGTTGATTGGGCTATACAAATATGTCTAGCATCGCATGCCTTATGAGCTCCTGGGTCCTTTAAGGTAGTTGCATATCCTTGACAGGATGTAGCAGAACCAACCCCAGCATTTTTTTGGCTGTTGTGGTTTTTCTAGGACAATTTTATGTTTTGTAGTTTGCCATTGCTTGCTGAACAGTCAGCTCTTGGTACCACTGTCAAAACCAATGCAAGACAGACCGTCCACAGCTGGCATTGAAACTGGCATCCCGGCATTACAAAGCGAGTTGGCAATACCTAAGCCACAGGCGCGACTGGACCCTTTACTGTTTACTTTATTGTTAAGTTGACAGTGTCTAATTGTCTTCGCACCTCTGACTTTTGGTCTTGATTAATGAAAACATTCTTGACAAATGCTTTTGCCATAGCTTGTCTTATGATTAAAGAATTTTACCTCTAGCATTGCAGTCTTTCAAGGTATGTATTGCAAGGTCCATTTGATCCCAGAAAGCCTTCACCACGTCTACTTTATCATATACTAGCTCACCACTATGAGGAGCAGCAGCAGCCAATCTATCAGCCTACTCATTAACCCACACATCCGAATGGCCCAGACAGAAAATCCATGATATGCTCTTAGTCTGAATCTAAAGGAAGGCAAGCCACACTATGCATGGGAGGCCAGTGGTAATTGTTGGTATAGAAAGGCTTAATGTAAATATGCAAGACCAATCGGCAAGTAGAATATGCTGCAGCCAGCAGCTGTCAAAACCTCACACGTGTTCAAATGTTTCTCTATATTTTATCATTCAAGTTTTTTAGACATTTTTTTTAAAGATGCTTGGAAACTAATTTTTCATAATTGTTTAATTTATAAATCTTTTTAACAATACTTGGTTTCAGAGTCATCAGCAGAGACTGAGCCTGCCTGGAAGGGTGCAGGTCAAAAGGAAGGTTTGGAAATCTGGTACATTAACGTAAGTCAATTAATTATATTAGATCTGTCAAATTGAGTCAGTCATTGAATCAAATTCATTCATTCAGTAGCATGTCCCTCGCGGAACCTCGCTGCCATAACAACCCTCCGGAAAACCTTCCTATCATGAGCAAGATGTCCTGCGTCTGATACACCCATCTGGAGATCATCTGCCACATCCTGCACCCATCTTCTCCTTGGCCTTCCTCTTCCTCTCTTCCCAGGCATGTACCCCTCCATTATTGTTCTCTCTAGACTTCCATGACGTTTCAAGTGACCAAAATATTTCAATTTTCTTTGTTTTAATGTCTTTACTAGCCAACCCTCTTCAATATTCAGCTCTTGAAGTATGGATGCATTTGTTCTTTTCTTTACCCAAGATATTCTTAGAACCTGTCTGTAACATTTGTATTCAAATGCATTTATGCACTGTTCCGATTGTTTAGTAAGTGTCCAGGTCTCACAAATTAGATCAATTAAATTGATGCAATCATTGAACCAAATGTGATTTCTTTAAGTGAGTTAGTCATTGAATCAAACTAGATCTATTAAAATGAGTCAGTCATTTAATCAAAATAGATCTGTTCCAGTGAGTCACTGATTCACATTAAGTGTGATATACTGAATCATTCATTGAATTAAATTAGATCTGTTAAATTGATTCAGTCCGTTAACTAAATAAGATTTCTTAAAGTGAGTCAGTCATTTAATTATATTAGGTCTATTTAAGTGAGTCAGTCATTGAATCAAACTTGATCTGTTTCACTGAGTCCGTCATTGTTTCTAATATCTTTTATTTAACTCTTTTCTTCTTCTTCTTCTTCTTCTTCTTCTTCTACTTCTTCTTCCAAGTTCACCGTTTGTAAGTTTCTGTGGAAAGTCCTGGTTGCTTGTCCATCTCGACTTTGGCTTTCTGCCAGAGTCTTAGTTATATGTGTACATCCATTTTACTGGCTTATTTGTGTACATTTGGTTGCTCCGTGTTGCTCGGGCAGATGCATTCTGACTTTGAAGAAAGCCCCCAATTAGTCGACTCCTACAACATGCTTGTTGATGAAGCAGTGGGTCCGTTCTTGTATTCCCCACAATAGGGCCCTGGAAACCACATGGGCATTTAACTCTTTCAGTACCAGGAATGTATGATTTGAACTCCTTCAAGCATGTGTTCCTCAAAGTAAAATATATCACTGTCTGTGAGAGTTCAGATAATAGCACTTTAAGACAAAATAAATTAAACAGAGGAAGCATAAATGCATCAACAGTTGAGAAATATAGAGCTTAAGATAAGTAGTTCTTTATTTATTTGTCTGAATCTTAAAAAAGCAGTTGACACTTTGTGTTGAGGTTTACAGCTAGACTGTGATATCTGCACATTTTGGTCCAACACATCTGATTTTTTTTGCAAACCTCTAATTAATATCCTTTTAGTAAATGATTGTTAGGGAAAGGGTGGGTCTATTCTTGGTTTTTTCCAAAAATATTTGTGACACAGTCGGGTCTTCACATCCCCCAAGTATGGATGTGCCTAATTCGGCCAAGGTGTCTGGATATAGATGTAGCTCTCTTCAATCGTATTCAAGAACAAAGCCAGTGATGTAACAATTACACAGGAGCTGGTTTATTCACAATATTGTCAAGTCAAACAGAATGAATCATTTCAATAACAATATTATAAGAACACTTCATTATCTTATTACTGGCTATTCTTATGTCTCTCTATGAGTTCCTTAATCACTCTCTTAGCTAAACTCCAAGTTTAATATATATAACTTCTAAACAAAGTACAGCTCTAGTTTTCCTAACTGGTCTCTCAAGCGGTCCAGTCCTAACTGTGTCCGCTGCTCTCACTTCAGCCGCTGGCTACTCACTTCCCCTCGCTTTCCCACTCTTTCTGGCGTGCCTTCTCAATCACTCCTCTGTCACCTGTCTTTGGTGGTCACGTTTGGATGAACGTATCTCTTCAGCTGGTCACAGTGCATCTGGTTGCTCACGGGTACTCGTCGAATGTTTCATCCTTCACTGTCAGATGTCATGGTTTTACCATGATAACCGCCCTCAAATCAACTCTGGTCACCGTGTAGATGTTCTGTATAGCTGGCCAGGCCAGCTTTCTAATCACTGTTTTCTGTCATGCCAACGAGTGAGGGATAGGCGTGCTTTTATGCTGTTCTGAAATGTATGCTTTATTCGTTTAACCCCTTTCTGCCTATATTTCATTACATATTGTGCTTGCAGATTCGATCTTGACACTAGATTCAAAAGTAAACAAGCAAAATGGTCCTTTTGAGACTTGTGAACATATTTAGAGTAATATTACAATTGACTTATTGGAATCAAAAGCAGGAACTGTGGAAGTGGTTCATTTTAAAGATAAATAAGAATGGAAGATAAATTGTTTAAAGCTGACTGAGTTAAGATGTATGCATAAGTAAGCTGCATGTGATATGTAGTAGTAATTTAAACAACAACATCTCTTTCAGCTCATCTGTCTTATAATTGGGATACATAGAGTTTTTTTTTATATTTCAATAATGGATATTTATGACTACCAATTACGTTTGGTTATGCATTATCGCATACCTTATGTATTAATTGTATAAGACTATAGGAGTATAGATTGCCACATTTAGTATATTTTAAGTTACTTTCATATAATTATTGTAATTATACAGTACACTCTATCTTTGTGGGTATTTAAAGTGATCTGGGATACCATGGTTCTGTCTTGAGATATATTAACATCTCACACCCATGTTTTTGTGATGTACTGTAATCCTTCCCTATAGTTCCCTAGAACCATCTACTTCCGGCAAGTTTTCAGTTGTTACACGCTTCTTGCAGTGGATCATATATTCATTAAGGGTCCTGTGGAGTTTATATTTCTTGCAGCAGAGTAGATAATGTTCAGTATCATTATGTTCCTGTGTGGGACCCGGGGCCCTATTATAGGGAAAACAAGAATAGACCCACTGTCTACCCAAAAGCATGTCGTAAGAGTCGACTAATTGGGAGCTTCCTTCGATGTCGGAGTTCATCTGCCTGAGAGGCAAGGAACCAACAGACTGCATACAAATTAGTCAGATCTGTCAAACGGATGCACTCGCAACACTCAGGTTCTGGAACAGGACTGCAGTCCAGAAGTGGACAAACGAATAGAGCTTTCCACCAGAGTTTACATCAGGTGAAGTATCATTATGCACCTGACATACAGAACAGGCCTCTTCTGCTATAGTGAAGTAAGCCACTCCAAGTTGCAGTCTTAGCAATTTATTGCTAGGTATTTTTAGTTTACTTGTTATTTGATATTTTCTATTTGGAATCTAAAACATATGGTGCATGTGATATCTAATTCATGTGTTTCATATTTTAATAGTGTTTTTTTTTTTTACAAATTGCATTTAATGTTAATACATTGTGTTCCTATGTAACAGAAATTTGAGGTCAAACCCTGGCCTAAAGAAGATTATGGGAAGTTTTACAATGGGGATTCATACATTGTCCTAAATGTGAGTTCTTTGTTATTATAATCAGAATGATACTTTTGTGAAAAAATAAGTGCTTGTTATTCTAATCAGCATTATAATTTTGGAGTATATGAGTATTTGTTATTATAGGCGGTATTATATTTTTAATGGTGTTTTATTTTTTTTTTTTTGTTGTTGTATCTTTTATGTAAGTTAAAAAATTATATTGTTATATTATTACATTTAAAAAATTAAAAACAGTCTTAAATTTGGTGAACAAATGTTTGTTACAATAAACAGCTTTAAAACTGTGTGAATGAATCAGTGCTTGATATTATAAATATTATTGTAATATTGGTTTTAGGCTGCATTTCCTCTTCCTAGGATATAGTTAATATCCTCCCCAGCACATTTCCCACAACCTCTGAATTATCTTTAAGTTACAGCAAGAGTAGGGCTAGATGCTTTACCTGGCAGCCCTAATGTCCTGGGTGCAAATCCACATGAAGCCTGATTTTTTAAAGTGTTGGGCCTTGTAACATTTACAAAAAACATTGCGGATTGGCCAATTTTCTTAATCTTTGCCTTTCTTGCACAGACAATTCCTGGGAAATTTCTGAAAACTATCTGGTGCTTTATTTGTAAAGCTAGATCCATACTTGTAAAAAAAAAAACCAAAATCTTGCCATATCTGGGGGACTGAACCTAGCCACTACTTAAAGCAGAAATATCCAGACATATTGTTTAGAAAAGTTATGTTGTCTTTATCTTGTATAGTAAAATATTTTTTAATGAAACTTTCAGGGGGGGGGGGGGGGAGAGAGAAAAGGGGAGGGGGGTGCAGAGAAAGTGTTGTTTTATAGCCAAATAATGCGAATACCCTGGAGAGATAAAAAAGAGTAATAAGAGTCTTGAAAGAAACTGACTGATAATGAAAGCTAATTACCCAAATCAGAACGAGACAACCTAAATTCTTTAGTCGGGTCATGAGAAGGAGAAAACTGGAGGGGAAAAGAGGCAGAGGGAGACACAGAAAGAGCAGATGTTGGGCAGTTTGACATCATGGCATGGAATATCATGTTAAAAGTGATTGAAAATACATGAGATAGAAGGTAGAGGGTAGATATGACTACCAGCATCACACAGACTACACAGAGCGGAAGAGGAAGTACCACTTTTTCAGTCAGTCAGGTGCCGTCCCCACAGTGAAGCTTAACTGCAATTAATCTCCAACATTCTCTGTCTCTTAACTTGGTGGTACACTCTCTGAGACTGCTGTTCATCTTTTGCTATTGTCCTCTCACTTGTATCATTTTCTACCTCTTGCTGTCTTGCCTTTGACTTTTCCTATCCAGTAGGGTTTTTGAAAGACATTTTTAAACTTGCTAAGAAAGGGCCAGAATGTGACCAGGAAGAGAATGCATTAACATACTATGAGAAGAAAAGGGCCATCCAGGCTATTAGAGTCTGGCCAGAGATGACTACCACTTACTTGACCGGCATGGGCAGGTCATTGTCCTACGTCTCAGGACAGGACATAACAAACTTAACCAGCATATGCACAGGCTTCGTCTAAGTAGTTCACTTTTGTGCCCTTGTATGCTATGTGTGCAGACTACAGAACATGTCCTGCAAGACTGTCCCTTGTTCAGCCCATTAAGAAAGGAATACGGGCCCAGTGAGTCACCACTGCACACAAAGTTGTATGGGACTAAAAAGGAACTCATAAAAACAGTTAAGTTTATCACAAAATCCTGTCTGTCAGTGTAAATCAGAAAGCGAACACAAGAAGAAAAAAAAAGACATTTTTACGGCGGTAAATGACAGGAAGGTCTTGAGCATGAGGATTTTGGGCAGCTGTGCTAATGTGGCTGCCACAAACTGTGCAAGTTAGGATGTTTTATTTGTCTCCCCAACATAAGAACATCCAATACCTTACAGAGGATTCAGATCTGCACTTCCCAGTGAGAGCCCTGCATTCTAACTATTTGGCCAATTGTTCTTCGCAACTGCATGAAACCTTATGATAATTTTGTTGTTATATTTCCAGACATACAAAGATAAGGACACTGATAGTCTTCTGTATGATGTCCATTTCTGGATTGGAAAGAACAGTTCCCAGGTCAGGGCAGTATCTGATCTTTCTTTTATAAAATGTATTTTTAATAAACAGTTAGTTAGTTAGTTAGTCGACAGTTTATCCTCATTGTACGTCGAACCGCTGAGTCCATAAGTGCTTGGATCCCCTCCTCAGTAAACCCGCACCATGTAGCGGCTAACAAAACCAGTTCTGTGTAGGTTTATTATTCTTCTTTGACTACCAGCGTAGTGTTCTTGTTTGGGGACACCCCGTTTAACATGTTATTCTTGCAGTCCGCCTTTTACCTCGACTTGGAGGCTTGTTTGTTTTGTGAACGAGACACAAACCCTGTTCCACCATTATCGGAAGCTGAACACCTAACATAGTCGGTAACCACACACGCTGAAAAGATAGACCTGGAAGCACCCCCAATTAACAGTTAAAGAGGCCTTGCGATTTATTCTTCTACCTATGCCAATCAGAAAGAACAAATCTGGCCCACAGGAGTGACCCTGCAAAACAAAATCTGAAGCAAAGGTGAAGACCCATACTGGAATAGATGCAGAGCAAATGTTTATCATTTTAAAAGAAGAAACATTTTACAACCGCCAATTCATGTGCTTTTAATTCCATCCTGGCATCATTTATTTTCCTTTTTGTGTATTTGATATCTGAATTTTTTTAAATGCTTAGTTACAGATGTATTAATTTTGCTTAATACAGGTCACAATATTTGTCTTGTTAACTCTTTCAGTCCCAGGCAATTGTTACTTTAACTCGGTGTATCTTAGAATTCATAACTTTTGAATAATTGGTGCTTAAGAAGTTAAAATAATAGCACCACAAGACAAAGGAGCTAATTAACAATTGATGCAAAGTAGGTTAGTGCAACAACAAAATGGGAGAATGTGAACTTGAGGTTTGAGGTTAGAACAACGGATCAAAATCATGGCACATGGGTGTAACCCATAAGTGCTCCATTTTTCTTTTAACTCAAGTCTGAGTCCGAAGAAGCTCAGCACAGTGCACAGGCTGTGTAGCACCGGTGAGGATGCTGAAATACTTTGGGTAGAATTTTAACTCCAAATTTTGCCTGGGCAGTGCCGTTAAGCTACTCTTTTTGATTTCCAACTGGCAAGGGATTTTTTTTTTTTTACATGCGCAACAAGGCACATGGACGTCCGATCTCACTACCCAGAGACCAGGGGGAATTACTAGAATTCCAAATCCACGTGAAAAAATCCCAGCCCTTACTTGGAATTGAACCCAGAACCTCTAGCATTTGAGGTGGACACCATGCCTCGAGACCCTGCAGCCTCCTGTGAAGTTAAGAAATGTACATAATACCTGTAAAAAGGCAATAAACCAATGGTCTGCACACACAGAAAGCCAGACCTGTAAAAACAGAAGTACCCACAACAAGGCTGAAGTGCAGAAGTTGACAAACAACCAGAACATTCTGCCAGAGTTTAAACTGGGCAATGCTAAAAAGAAGAAACAGTGAAAAACATTTGAATCAATTTATCCTAAAATGGGTGTCAGGAATCATCTTGGGAAGTATAGGCAGCTGACATGATGTTGACCACATCATCCATCTAGTACTCACTGATCTATAAACATATGGGTCTGACGACCATATACAAGGAAAAGGAAAAAAAAAAAAAATATCCTTTACTTTTGTGTCTTAAACTCTAGAATGAGCACACTTTTCTTTCATTGTTCACATATTGTACATTTCTCTGTTGTCAGTCATTCTTCTTCTGTATTATTACTGCCAGTACCTTTGTACTCATGCTTTAATGTTTCCAGTAATCATGTCTTTATTATATCGTCATCAGCCAGCAGGTTCTTTACAGAACATTGCTCTAGTCACGGCACACCTGAAAGTCTTTCTTTTTCTGGCCACTTCTTCAGCCCTATGTGCTTTCATAGTCAGTGAATCTTCAGTGTCTTGTATCCACCTACACAGAGACTGGTCTTCTTTCCTTTTTTTTGGTAACTTTACCCTCCATCACTGTTTTCTAAATTAATATATAATTATATTTATATTAGTTAGAGGAAACAGTGCAGTGTTACTCACTAGTGATGATGATGATGTATAATTTTAAAATAACTTTCTCAAATAAAATAAATAAAACTGGACACTACGTTTTGCTGATAGGATGAGTACGGGACAGCAGCTTACAAAACTGTGGAGCTGGATACATATTTGGATGATGTGCCCATACAGCACCGAGAGTGCCAGGGCCACGAGAGTGACCTTTTCAAGTCCTACTTTCCTAAAGGACTGACGTAAGTTTCTTTCTTTTAATGCTTGCAAACTTGAGCAGACATATTAATGTTGACAAACAAACCTCCCAATAACACATTCTCCTCACCTCCCTTTATTCCACCACTTGTCAGTTAAAATATTTGACACTAGGACATAAAGCTGGAAATCAAACAGTGGATGTGATAAGATTTCCTTAGACATCTAAACAGAACACACCAACTCACCTTTTTTTTTTTTTTTTTGTACTGCATTGTCGGCATCTGTGGCTTAGGCATTGCGAACGTGCTTTGTAATGACGGGGTGCCGGGTTCGATTCCAGCTGCGGGCCCTGCGTTGGTTTCGACAGCGCTATCGAGAAGCCGACCATCCAGAAAGCAATGGCAAACTACTGGATATGGATTTGCTTAGAAAAACCACAACAGCCGATGCTGGGATTGTTTCTGCAACATCCTGTAAAGGATAAGCAACTAACCAACTAGACATTGAAGGCTCAACAAACACTCACATAAATTACCAGTGAGCCAGACAGTTCTCTGCCAATGTCTCTTGAGAAAAACACCAGAACTTGTCTTGCAAGACTCTCTCCTGAAGGAGCTGTGAAGCAACATGTTGTCATGCCTAGTAGATCTGATGACTAAGCTTTGGGTCACGAATATCTGCCCTAACCATTTTTGTGCCAGGTCATGCAGGTGTTCAAGGGAAAGATCTGAACCAGCATAAAACAAACTGTTTCTTCTGCTGCATCTAGAATGGACAAACAAGACAAATCTATCATTAAATTAAAACTTAATTTAAATTGATGACAGTAATTACAAGTATACCATGTTCTTCCATGTGGGTGTAAGACATCTAATAGCTTAGTCATGGTTGAAAGTTGGAGTTCCATCTCCACTGCAGATGAGTCTCCCCATAACTGTTCTGCTTTTGTGCCAGTGGAAATCACACACATGATCTTCATTATAACATTTTTCTTTAGAAAACTAATGAAAAACATGTTATAAGAAGAGGGAAAATGGAACATGTTGTAACCACTAGAAAAATCTGTGGGAGAAGAAATAAAGAAAGACAACGAGAGAAGATTCTTGACAGTCTTGTTGCATGGCATGGAGGTGTGTCAGCACACGATCTGATACATGCGGAAGGAGATTGCGGATTGTGGAGAGGCAAGGAACCTGATGATGATGATGATGATGAAAAATATGTCCTGCAAAAGTCTCTCTGATGGCTTCATAATTAAAATATCAGAGTTGCAGAGGAAGACTGAGTGAGAGAGAGGTGAGGCCAGTTTGACTTCATGGCATGGAGAATCATCTGTGTCAGAAATTATTAAAAATACACAAGAAAGAAGGCTGTGCAAAAATAGCACTACCAAAACACCATGTGGCATGAATTATTTGAAGAAAAAAAAAGAGTTATTTAACAGTCCTGAAATCTGACCACTGTTCGGTCAAACTTAATAACCAATATACCACTGTGGCTACTTATGACGGTACATGCTTAAAAACACAGTTGATAGCTCTTCTGTGAAAGTTGGCAATTATGCATTATCTACTTCTTCTTTGTGCTAAATAGCTGTTAACTCAGGCAGAAAGTTCTGGTTGTTCACCAACTTCTAAACTGTATTCTTGTTTCAGAACGTGAGTGTTGTGTGTACATATATTTTACAGATCTGGCATATTTGTATGCTGACTGTTGGTTCTTTGCCTCTCAGGCAGATGCACTTGGACTTCAAAGGAAACCCCTAACTAGTCAACTCTTATAACATGCTTGTTCAGGAAGCAGTGGGTCTGTTCTTATTTTATCCACAATAAAGCCCTAGAATCCACATGCGTGGGAATGCATTATGAATCTAAGTGCATCTCATGTATAAGACTAAGGTAATTGATCTACCATGTATGTGTTGCTTGTTTTTATAAGTCATTTGTTTGACATTTTCAGAGAACTGGTAATCGATCTGCCATGTATGTGTTGCTTGTTTTTGTGTCATTTGTTTGACCTATTCAGAGAACTAGTAATTGATCTGCCATGTATGTATTGCTTGTTTTCATATGTCATTTGTTTGACCTATTTATAGAACTGGTAATTGATCTACCATGTATGTATTGTTTCTTTTCATATGTCATTTGTTTGACCTATTCAGAGAACTGGAAGGCGGCTGTGCATCTGGGTTCAGAAATGTTCCTGCAGAAGACTATCAGGCTAGACTGCTGCTCTTCAGCAAGGACAAGGCTGGCCATATGATAGTTAAACAGGTATAGTCTGAATCCTTGGGTATAGTCTGAATCCTTGGGTATAGTCTGAATCCTTGGGTATAGTCTGAATCCTTGGGTATAGTCTGAATCCTTGGGTATAGTCTGAATCCTTGGATATCGTCTGAATCCTTGGGTATAGTCTGAATCCTTGGGTATAGTCTGAATCCTTGGGTATAGTCTGAATCCTTGGGTATAGTCTGAATCCTTGGGTATAGTCTGAATCCTTGGGTATAGTCTGAATCCTTGGGTATAGTCTGAATCCGTCATTTATTATAATTATGTCATATTGTGCTTATACATTGAATTTTGGCACTGGATTCAAAGGTAAACTAACAAAATTATTTGTTGGAGACTTTTGAAAGTGTTTGTGAGAAATGTTACAAATAATTTGTTAGAATCTGTTTGTTCTTCTTCTCCTCATCATCCTTCTTCTTCATGTTGACCAGCTGTAAACTCTTCGGTTGTTCATCCACTTCTGGACATGAGTCTTCTTTCAGAACATGAGTTTTGTGTGCGCATTAGTTTTACAGATCTGGCTGACTTGTATGCAGGTTTTGGTTCTTGCTCAATAAGTCACTCCAGATAACGTCACGGGGACAGTCCAATATTTTGTAAGGTGGTGCTTTTAACTACTCCAAAACACCTAGAATTGGACCTAACCCCAATCCACCTACGTCCCACGAGAGAGTGCAGCCTAGGTCCCAGGACTGCATGCAGCCTATCTACCACCCCTGAAATATTGGACTGTCTATTTGGGGTGAATAAAAACAAAAGCACCCAGCTTTCTCACCTGTTGGACAGATGCACTCCAACTTCAAAAGAAACATCCCTAAATAGTATACTTTTACAACATGCTTTGGAGATGGGGTGGAACAGACAGTCTTTTTTGTGTGTGTCCCCCTCACTATGAGGCCCCAGGAAATGGGAAAATGGGAAACTTTTTAGAATCAAAATCAGGAATATTTTTTCAGAGTTGAGTTAAGAATTGACATCACAGTACACTAGGCATTCCCATATGTGCTCAATCCCCATCCTCAGCAGCCAGTGCAGAGTTCCAATACTAATGGTGCCACTTGTAGTCTGGTTGTTTGTCCCTCTTGCCTTTCCTCTGAGTTGTGTGGTAGCCAAACCCTCTGGTCACACCCAAGTGTATCATCCTCTCCAGACCATAATAATCTGGTTTCTCTTCTGACTTCGTTACTTGTTCCTAAAGGGCTCTGACCACATCTGCTTTGTCATGCATCAATTCACCACCCAGCGGTGCAGATCCAGCAAGTCTGTCTGCCTGTTCGTTCCCTGCCACACCTGCATGACCTGGAGAAAAGATCCACAGTATGCTCACTACCGTGACATTGCAAGTGAACCTTGATTTTTTAAGAAAAACCAAAATACAGAAGTAACATCCCAGGAAACAGTTGATGTTTTATTGCATAATTAAAGGAAACAGGTGATGTTTTATTGCATAATTAAAGGAAACAGGTGATGTTTTGTTGCATAAGTAAAGGAAACAGTTGATGTTTTATTGCATAATTAAAGGAAACAGGTGATGTTTTATTGCATAATTAAAGGAAACAGTTGATGTTCTGTTGCATAAGTAAAGGAAACATTTGATGTTTTATTGCATTAAAGGAAACAAGTTGATGTTTTAAAATAAAGGAAACAGTTTGATGTTGCTAATTAAAGGAAACAGTTGATGCATAATTGAAGGAAACAGTTGATGTTCTTTTGCATAAGTAAAGGAAACAGTTGATGTTTTATTGCATAAGTAAAGGGAAAAAGTGGATGTTTTATTGCATAAGTAAAGGAAACAGTAAAGGAAACAGTTGATGTGTTTATTGCATAATAAAGGAAACAGTGATGTTTTAAATAAAAACAGTTGATGTTTTATTGCATAATTAAAGGAAACAGTTGATGTTTTATTGCATAAGTAAAGGGAACAGTTGATGTTTTATTGCATAAGTAAAGGAAACAGTTGATGTTTTATTGCATAATTAAAGGAAACAGTTGATGTTTTATTGCATAAGTAAAGGAAACAGTTGATGTTTTATTGCATAATTAAAGGAAACAGTTGATGTTTTATTGCATAAGTAAAGGGAACAGTTGATGTTTTATTGCATAATAAAGGCAACATGATGTTTTATTGCAGTTAATGTTTTTATTGTAATTGGACTGATGTTTTATTGCTAAAGGAAACAGTTGATGTTTTATTGCATAATTAAAGGAAACCTTGAAGTGCATAAGTAAAGGAAACAGTTGGGTTCTTTTTAAGTAAATCCAAAGTTTGTATAGGCATTCAGCACTTTATTGGTGATTTAGATAATATCACACTGGCCACCTTGCCTCATAAAATTTCCCAAATGGGAGAAAGTAGATACGAACTAAGAAACTTTATTTTAAAAGGTCACAAATTGTTAAGAAAATGAAGGAATGTAAAGTATCAAGGGAAGCATTGGTAGAGAAGCAGCAAACCATCAGCAGTCAAGATCAGCTTATGAATGCCTTATATGTCAGTGATGACATGAAGAGGATTATAAATATAGATCTCTAAATCTTCTTCTTCTGCCTTTCTATTCCTTAATGAACGTTAGGCACATAACCAACTCACGCCAAGTCGTTCTATCCTTCGCCATTACATGGAGCTCTCCCCATGTCTTCCCCATCTTTCTGACTTCATTCTCCAGCTCTCTTCTTCATGTGTTTTTTGGCCTTCCTTTATTCCTATGCCCTTGTGGGTTCCAATGCAAAGACATTCTAATTATGCTCTTCTCCTGTTTTCTCAGTGTGTGTCCTATCCAACGCCAGCATCTTTTCCTCACCTCTTGGTCCACTGGAACCTGTTTAGTTCTTTCCCAAAGCTCTACATTAGTTATTCTATTGTGCATCCGTGGCTAAGGCGTTGCGAGTCCGACTCGTAAGCCAACATACCGCGATCGAAACCCACTGCAGGCTGCGTGGATTTTTGTCGTGGTATTGGACGTCGCCGGTCGACCCAGCCTAAAATGGGTACCAGGATGGGCTGTCCTGGGAAAGTAAAGACAGCCGGCGTAATGCTGACCACATTACCCACAGAGTGCTGATGGTCTGTAAAAATATGGGACGCTCTGCCCATATGCCCGATGCGCCGAAAGGCGTGGAAAGGGGTCTTTACTTACCATTTAATTCCTTCTATTCTGCAAGCCATCAGCGGTCAAGATCAGCTTATGAATGCCTTATATGTCAGTAATGACATGAAGAGAATATAAATATAGATCTCTGAATCACTGGTCTTATATCCTGATTGTTTTTTGTGTGGATTTCAGATTCGAAGATCTTCGTCCCAGATTAAGGAAGATGATGTGTACATCCTTGATGATGGCAATGTACTGTACCAGTACAATGGTTCAAATTCCAGCCCCATGGAGAGGTCAAAAGTACGATTATTATTATTATTATTTTCGGAACCTAGTAGTTGAAGTTACTTTCTCATTAAATTTTGCACCGCCCCATATGCTCTGTCAAACTTATATATAGTGACTGTTGTGCTTCATCATCATCAGGTGCCTTGCCGAATGGTGTGGGCGATCATGCTTCTCCACAATCTGCGATCTGTTATACTTAATAAACTATTTACCTCTATAAAGGCATGGAATTGATGTTTTTGTCTTTATTCATTTTTTTAGTATTAACCCTTATAAATGTTATAATTTCCTTAATTTATGACTACTAAAAGGCCTTTCTCACAACAAACCCTTCTTAAGCAGTTGTTTTGGTCTGTCTTCCTGAAATTAAAACTGGAGAGAAAGGCCATTTTGATCCTGACTCCCATTTGTCAGTCTCTTATTAAATGTGTCTACCCTTTAGAATGTAGCTGTTTCAGCAATTCAGGCCAAAACTAAAACACATGGTAAATTTCATCCAGCTGCCAACATACCTAAGTAGGAACAATGCCAGAAAAATGGTAAGACCCACAGACTCAACCAAATAATTTGGTGTGTTGTAGAAATAGACTTTAAAAAATATTAATATCTTCTCTCTTCTTCATTTTAGTGTTCACAAGCTGTAAACATTGCCTGTCCGTAATGTAAGAAAACTGTCTGTAATGTTCGAAATACATTATCTGTAAAGTAAGAAACCCATGTCTGTAAAGTAGGAAGACCTTATTTGTAATGTAATAAGACATTATCTTGACATAAGAAGACATCAGCAGTATAAGCATAAACTATCTGTAAGAAAAGAACACACACTATCTGTATGTCAGCGTTACTTTTTATATTATTATTTATCTGTATTGTGATATGACTGACAGGCTGCACAGTATCTGAACGAATTGAAGAGTGAGCGTGGAGGTCCTAAAACTGAAGTGGTGGATGGGCCAGACACCCCAAAATCTGTAAGTTTGTGTCTAGTCCAGCTTGTATAGTTTGATAGGTCGAAGAACAACTCTGGAATGCAGCCCTGTTATAACAGTCTCTTTTTAAAAGTAGCCCCATTGAGAAGAAAAACAGACACACTGCCCCTCTAACAGGCTTGTTAAAGGTTTCGCTGAAATTGGATGTGTTTGGCCAAAAGGCACAGATATTGCAACCTAGCTGTGAACCACAGCACATCATGTCAACCACCCTTTTAAGGGTGATTGCAGAAGAAGAAGAAAAAAAGTGTTAAAATGTAGAAGAGTTTAGATTAGTGAAAAATTGACATCACAGCACTCACGGCATTTCCATATGTGCTCCGTCCCCCTCCCTAGCAGCCAGCACAGATTTCCAATTATAATGGTGCGGGTTGTAGTCTAGTTGTCTGTCCGTCTACTCTGAGCGTAGTAGTGTCTAGTTTCTCTTCTGAGTTCATTACTTGTTCCCAAAGGGCTCTGACCTACATCTGCCCTGTCCTGTATCAATTCACCACCCAGCAGTGCAGGTCCAGCCATTCTGTCTGCCTGTTCATTCCAGACCACACTGACATAGCCTAGAGAAAAGATCCAAATTATGCTCACTACCCGTGACCTTGCAAGTGAAGCTTGCCACTCTGCTCGAAGCATCCCTGTATTCACCTTTTTCATCATGCTTTCAGAGTCCATTATAATTATGACATGTATGTATCTTGTTCTTTAGCCACCGGCAAGCTGCAGTAATCGCCTCCACCTCCATTCTTATGCTAGATGTTGTGGTATCATATGCCAGACTGTCCTGCACTAGAGATTTTCCATTGGCTATTGCTACGAAACCCCAGCACTTCTCTTCCCTCTCAGCACAGAATCGTCTGTGTAGATAATCAGATCATTTAGGACGAGAATTGTTGTGAATCAATTGTTGGACTTCCAACTGAGTAGCCCCCGCTGGCCAAGCTCTGCACTCCCAGCCTAATGTGATCATGATTACATAGGTCAGACTTTTCCTGTTTTTTAAAATGTAGAAGAGTGTATCATCGTGAAACAAACCACTTGCACCATTTAATCATACCTGTGGCTCACAATATCCAATTTTTACAAGTTTTTGTTTTCAAGTTTCTTTGTTGTTTGACTGTTCTCAGCCTACCTTCTCTTTTTCTTTGCATTCATCAGCTGTAAACTGCAGCAGAAAATTATAGTTTTTCATCCATTTCTGGACTTTATTCTTGTTCAAGAACTTGAGTTTTGTGTACACCTCTGCTTTACAGATCTGCCTTATTTTGTATGCAGATTGTTGGTTCCTCACCTCCTCAGCACATGCACTCTATAACTTTGAAGGAAACACATAGCAGTAGTTCTGCCCCCCCCCCCTTTTTCACAGTGAGTTCTGGGAATACATGAATACAGGTCATCATTCTTTGCCTCAGGACAGGGCCTAACAAACTTCAGCAAGCATATGCACAGGCTTCGTCTGAACTGTGTCCATGTAGGCTGTGCGCACAAACTGCAGAACACACCATACAAGACTGTCTCTTGTACAGCCCATTGAAAAGGGAATAAGTAAAAGTTAAGTAAGGAATCTTTTCTGTGCATACATGGGTATTGGGCATTATGCAATCTGGCCCAAATATAGCGTAACTGGGCTCTTATTCATGCTTCCTCAGGCTGGTCTACGCCAAAGGGGTGTTACGTTGTCTTGCCTCCAATTACATCAGTGCCGATATTGCGTTTTAGGACCCTAGACCTATAATTTGTTGACCAATCAGCACTTGGTGGATGATATGGTAAACATCACATCAGCTGCCTTTACTCCCCAGGACTATACCTGGCACCCACTAAAGGTTGGGTCGACCTGGAAGCCAAGGTCATTTTTAAAAAAAGTTGGGCTTCATCAGGACCCGAACCCATGACCTTCCAACCCACAGATGAGCATCTACCATTTACAGCTTTTACATGTAACACTAATTATTTTCAAGCATCCATTTTGGAAGAAACTAGGTGAGGATGATGAGGGCTCTGCATTCAGTGATGACGATGATGATGGCATACCTGACAAGCGACTGCTCAGGTAAGAAGAATATATTTATGTGTGTAAGTAAAAATAACCTGTTTTTTCCACTTTTAAGTCTATGAACATATGATGCTAACCCCATATATTTTCTGGACCAGTAACTCAGTAGAAAGTGCGATCACTATCACACCAGCCATGTTTCATCCTAGAGTATTTGCTGGGAGTTATTATTTTATTAATACTAACCTTGAAAAGTGTCTGTCTCATTCATCCCATGATATTTTACACCACTATAGCAGAACAGACTGAACATCAGTATCTGGAGAAAATGGTTTAGCTGGGAGGGAGCAGGAGCCAGTACTAAAGTACAGACAAACAGTACTAAAGTACAGACAAACAGTACTAAAGTACAGACAAACAGTACTAAAGTACAGACAAACAGTACTAAAGTACAGACAAACAGTACTAAAGTACAGACAAACAGTACTAAAGTACAGACAAACAGTACTAAAGTACAGACAAACAGTACTAAAGTACAGACAAACAGTACTAAAGTACAGACAAACAGTACTAAAGTACAGACAAACAGTACTAAAGTACAGACAAACAGTACTGAAGTACAGACAAACAGTACTAAAGTACAGACAAACAGTACTAAAGTACAGACAAAGTCTACAAATAACATGGTTTGTCCACTTAGAGATAAATGATCTCGGCTCCCAGGTTGAGACAGCCTTGAGTGGGTACAAGATAAAGTCCTGGAAAGAAAATTAGGCCTTCATGATGTTGACCACATGACCCACTGAATGCCGATTGGTCTATAAAATATAGGTCTAGAATTATATGCCCAATATGCCTAAAGGTGTGGAGAAGGGTTCTTTACTTTAGTTTTTACTTACAGAGAATTCCTTGTGAGGTTATACCTTACAAGGAATATGCCTAAAAGTGGACAAAGAACAAAACTTAATGATAACATCATGAAGCTCTATAAAAGTATGATTTGGCAGTGATTGAGCAGCAAGTAGAGTAGAGTAGAGTAAGAGTAGAGTAGAGCAGTAGCCAGAGCAGCGTATTTCCCTTAACTCCTGGACTAGTAAACGAGGAATTGAAGAAGAAGGAGGAAAAAAAGAAGTATGAGAATGGAAGTCAGCGCTGCACTTCACTGCTAAAGATAACTGTTTCCAGTATTCATAGATGTGATTATCTCTTATTGTCAGTCCATGACTTGAAAAATTCAGATTAGATGGCTGTGGAATGAGTGGCTGCAATTTGTGGAAGCCTTAAACCTATGGGATCTAGAGATTTTTGACCAGATGATGCAAGGCTCTCAGAAACGATAGAACGAGTATGATAGCTTTAAAAGCACATTGGAACATTGGAGATGGACATATGGCATACATTGCAAGTATTTGCTAGGTACACGTTGACAAGGTGACTCATGTCACTGCATAAAGTAAGATCATCATCAGGTGCCTTGCCGACTGGCATGGGCGATCATGCCTCTCCATAATCCGCGATCTCCTGCAGCATGTATCAGTTCGTGTGCCGACACACCTCCATGCCATGCAACAAGACTGTCAAGCATCTTCTCTCATTGTCTTCCTCTATCCCTCCTTCCACAGATCTTTCCAGTGGTCACAACATGTTCTATTTTCCCTCTTCTCATAACATGGCCGAAAAATGATGACTGTCTCCTTCTGATGTCAGTGATAAGTTGTCTTCGGGCTCCCGCCTCTTTTAAAACCTCTTGGTTGCTCTTTTTGGCTGTCCAAGGTATTCTAAGCATTCTTCTGTAAAACCACATCTCTGAGGCCTCTAAAAATTGTTTGGCCTGCCTACCGATTGTCCAGGATTCACAGCCATATGTTAAAACTGGATGTATGTTGCAAGCAAGAATTCTTTTTCTAACTCTCAATGACAAGGATATATTGCACAAGATGTTTCTCATTTTATAAAATGCAGTTTTTGCCTGTCCAATTCTGTTTCTTATTTCAGTTAAAGTAAGATAAAGGACCCTTTTAGATGCCTTGAGGTGCATTGAGAATATGGTGCCAGCCTTAACTTCTCATAGGCCAGCTGGGACCTGATAAGCAAAGCAATGCACAGAGCAGATTTTATATTTCTAATATAATTTATATTTTTGTCCATTTCTTGTCCCCTACATTTCATTATATGGATGTTTACTGCAATAATTTAGTCTGATGGTAGTGTGAACATCTATTTGGTTTTAAGTTTTTGTTTTATTTAATAAATTTATTTTTACACTTAACAGGGTTAACACTGAAACAGGTGAATCTAATGTTGTGAAAGATGGAAGCTTCTCACTTAGTGATCTGAAATCTGATGTAAGTCTAACAAAATTGTTGATAAAAATATTAGAATCTAGTTTGTTTACAGATGTATACAAATGTATGATGTGTGCTGGGAGGTAAGCTGTTCTAACCGTTCGCCTCGCGTTCTGATGGTCGTGGATTTGCTTCACGGTTGTGTCATTCAGTTTACGAATGCAATTTTAATGGAGATTCCTGGGGATCATCAGCAGCGCTACAGAATTCATGCTTTGTGCAGTGCTCTTTAACAGGTGGATAGTCATTCTGCAGAGAGAGACTGAGCTTTTTGGGATAAAAAACAGTTCAGTGAAGTGGATCCTCTCGACTTTAATCTCTATAGTCTCTAATCTGTAACATGTATGATGTAATCTGAATGAATATATTAAAAACTGTGTTGAATACCTCAAGTACCACTTTTTAGGGTTGTGCCTGACGAAGGGTCTTGAACCTGAAGATTTATGCCTTATGTTAGTGCAGTCTCCACTTCTTCTTCTTATAGTCCATTCTATTTGCCGTTGGTAGTCATGTTTATTTACAACCTTCTGTTTCGTGTACTTTCAATTCATTTTAACGCAGATGATCTTCCATGCTATGATGTCAACTGCCCAGCATCATCTCTGTCGATCTGCCTCTGCCTCTTTTCCTCTCCAACTTTCCCACCGTCACTATGTACTCCAATTTTCTTCTTCTCATAAACTGTTAAAGGAATGTAGATTGTCTTCTTGTGTTCTCTTCCTGAGTCAGTTTCTGTCACCAGCAGTACAGGTTATTATCTTTAAATATGCTTTAATCTCATGGTCTTGCCATTTTATAAAATTTATGTTTAAAATCTTTCTGCCAGTAAGAGAGATTGTTGGGATCAGGCGTACATTGGTTCTGGGTGGAAGAATAATCATCATTATGCTGATTGTTAAAAGTTGATGAAATGCTCGACTCCCCTATCATTAGGTTTGAAGAAGTAGAATGTACTTGGTACTGGACAAAATATTGACCTGGCCAAAGACCCAGGGGATCACCTGTAATGTAACTGTCAGTCTGTGAAAACTACCAACTAGCTGATTGCTACCAAAAAAAAAAAAAAAAAAAAACTCATAAAGACAACTTTAAATTTATAAAAGTCATCAGAATACTACCCCATTTTCCTTGAAGGAGTACATCTGCCGGTGAGGCAGGGAACAGCAAACAAATAAGCCAGGAAAATGGATTTACATGCAAAACTCAGGTCCAAGTAAAAGCCAAAAGTCCAAATGAATGAACTACCGAGACCTTCTGCCGGAATTCACATCCGGTGAAAGAAGAAGACTGTACTCATTTTCTGTTGAAATCCAAATGATTTTAATGGCTGTCACAAGTGATATGGCAATAGATATAACATCTCCAACTGGACTGAGAGATCACAGCCAAGCTGTAAAACACAATTGAACATACCACTGCCCTTTTAAGGGTGATTCCATAAGAAGAAGAAGCACATCAGTACTGTTGAAATGGGCTGAATACGTATCAGAGAATTGTCACTCTGGATTCACTCTTTGAGGCCCATGACTTTTGACAGACTTGGCCCACATTAATTTCCCTTTACAAAAATGGCAGAGGGGTGGGTGTACAAGAAGGGCTTTAGAAAATGTAATATACTTCTAATTCCTATAAAAGTATATTTTTAAAAAGAGAAATGAATGTACATTTTGAATCTGATGATAAATGTTTGTTTAATATTGTTATAGTTAGTAGGAAAGAAGAATTCAGCAGGTGTTAATTTCATAAGGACAACATTTCACAAAAAAAGTCTTCACTTAACATGGTTCTGCAGCCACAAGATTAGTGAACATCAAAATTTGAGAACAAAACTTCAAAGTTTGTTCAATTTCCTAATATATTCCAAAAGTTATGATAACTTTCTGGGCTAGCTTGGCACTCAGGTGCTCTTAGTTCTCACAGAGTGCTGAGCAAAATTTCGGAGAAAAAATGGCAGAAAAATGAGCCATTACAAACACACTATTTACTTTGTACAGTTATTTACAGACTGTAGCTGCAATGATTTCAATGTAGCATACCCATAGTATAGTACAATCTATCTGTTTAGAGCACTTTCATTCTCTTACATCATAAATACAGTAGTATCGGACATTGTCTGTGTAATAAACTCATCAGAATTGCTAGATTCCGAACAGCTAATCGCTCAGCTTCGCTGGTGAAAATTCACTGTCCAAATCACTTTCTGAAAAATCTAAAAAAATTTTATCATTATCAGAATTAAAAACATCTGACCGAAACAATTTCAGAGCTTCGGCCGCAGAAAGACGCATTCTGCAACCTGTACTTGTGGTTGGAACATTGGTATTCATGGCACTCAACAACGAACTTAGAAAATTCACTGTTGAAAAAAACATTTGCTATTATTTCATTCATATTACGCACGTTTGGATTAGCCTAGGAAATTAAACTAAAAGGATTTCGGCAGAGTAACTTTCCCTGAATAGTTTAATCATACCTCCGAACATTAGAAACTAGTTAGGGGGCGTGTGCAAAGCAAAATGTAGGGGACACACAATCGACGACGACACCGTTGTTAGGACAAAACGGAACTTCTCAAACAACGCTCACATCGTTGCTTGGGCCATGAAGAGTTAACTGATACTAAAACTCACCCTCAGTTCATTTCCACCCCCCTAGTGGCCATTTATATGTGATGGGCATGAGGATGTATGGCAGGAGGAAACCACCTGTAAGGTTCTGTAGAATCAGCAGGGAGCCTGAGGTGAAATACCAGAATGCAAGGATGTATGGCAGAAAGAAACCACCTGTAAGGTTCTGTAGAACCAGCAGAGAGCCTCAGGTGAAATACCAGAATGCAAGGATGTAAGGCAGAAAGAAACCACCTGTAAAGTTCTGTAGAACCAGCAGAGAGCCTCAGGTGAAATACCAGAATGCAAGGATGTATGGCAGATAGAAATCACCTGTAAAGTTCTGTAGAACCAGCAGAGAGCCTCAGGTGAAATACCAGAATGCAAGGATGTATGGCAGATAGAAACCACCTGTAAAGTTCTGTAGAACCAGCAGAGAGCCTCAGGTGAAATACCAGAATGCAAGGATGTATGGCAGATAGAAACCACCTGTAAGGTTCTGTAGAACCAACAGGGAGCCTCAGGTGAAATACCAGAAGGCAAGGATGTATGGCAGATAGAAACCACCTGTAAGGTTCTGTAGAACCAGCAGGGAGCCTGAGGGTGAAATACCAGAATGCAAGGATGTATGGCAGATAGAAACCACCTGTAAGGCTCTGTAGAACCAGCAGGGAGCCTGAGGTGAAATACCAGAATGCAAGGATGTATGGCAGATAGAAACCACCTGTAAGGTTCTGTAGAACCAGCAGGGAGCCTGAGGTGAAATACCAGAATGCAAGGATGTATGGCAGAAAGAAACCACCTGTAAGGTTCTGTAGAACCAGCAGGGAGCCTGAGGTGAAATACCAGAATGCAAGGATGTATGGCAGAAAGAAACCACCTGTAAGGTTCTGTAGAACCAACAGGGAGCCTGAGGTGAAATACCAGAATGCAAGGATGTATGGCAGAAAGAAACCACCTGTAAGGTTCTGTAGAACCAGCAGGGAGCCTGAGGGTGAAATACCAGAATGCAAGGATGTATGGCAGATAGAAACCACCTGTAAGGCTCTGTAGAACCAGCAGGGAGCCTGAGGTGAAATACCAGAATGCAAGGATGTATGGCAGATAGAAACCACCTGTAAGGCTCTGTAGAACCAGCAGGGAGCCTGAGGTGAAATACCAGAATGCAAGGATGTATGGCAGATAGAAACCACCTGTAAGGCTCTGTAGAACCAGCAGGGAGCCTGAGGTGAAATACCAGAATGCAAGGATGTATGGCAGATAGAAACCACCTGTAAGGCTCTGTAGAACCAGCAGGGAGCCTGAGGTGAAATACCAGAATGCAAGGATGTATGGCAGATAGAAACCACATGTAAGGTTCTGTAGAACCAGCAGGGAGCCTGAGGTGAAATACCAGAATGCAAGGATGTATGAAATGCTTTAAGTCTTCCTTTTTTCTTCCATTTTTCCCCTCTAGGTGGCTACCTGAAGGTTTAACACCCTCAGACTGCAGAATCACAATCTGTGTGGCAAATATACTGGGCAAATCCCATATACCCTGTTCATCCTCCAAAGAATATATAATTGGGTTATCCATAACGGTTATATCAGCCTGGTGTAAGCTGTAGTCTTGTGCAGTTAAGGATTACTATGATTGTGCTTTTAGTCAGAATTACTGTAAAATAGTTAATATCATGGACGATGTGTTATACAGCATAAATTAAACAAATAATTATGTTAAGTGTAATTCTAAGTGATTATGGTCATGTGAACTGTATTTTCTGAATGATGATTAACCATTTCCGTCTGCTGTAGGATGTGTTCATCTGTGATAATGGTGATATTGTCTTTGTCTGGATCGGGGCAAATGCATCTCCTGCAGAGAAAAAGAATGGCCTCCCTTATGCTCATGTAAGTTATAATATAACATCCAAGTATTGATTGTTTTCATTATCACTTTCCCCATGTGGGTTCCAGAGCCCCACTGTGGGGAAAACAAGAATAGACCTACTGCCTCCCAAACAAGCATGTCGCAGGTCGACTAATTTGGAGCTTCCTTCAAAGTCAGAGTGCATCTGCCTGAGAGGAAGGAACCAATAGTCTGCATACAAATGAGTCTGTTGTATAAAATATAAGTGCATGCAGCTCTCATGTTCAAGAACAGGACAACAAACCAGAACTTTCTGCCAGAGTTTACAGCCTGTGAACACCAAAAAGAAAAAAATTAACACTTCACTTGAAAAACAAAAAAATCCTGTTCTATTTCTTAAAGAAACCTCACAGGGCTCAGTAGAGGAAAAAAGGCAGACTAAAAAAGACTTGGATGCAGAACCTGACTGACTGGATAGGGCTTAGGCATGCAACCATAGCGTCCATCGCAACTGATTCTCAAAGGTGGAGGGAGCTGATCAAACAGTCCGCAGCAACCGGTGGCTTGTTGACACAGTGTTGTGGAATGATGATGATGTGTCTGCTCAACCAAGCACTTTTAATGTTAGCAGCATCCAGGGTAGAACTTGGAATAGTATGCTTCCCATCCCTGCATTGGACCCTATTGGACCATAGGGGTGCCATAAAGAACGCAGTTTCCTGGGATTTGCTTCTGTATGATTCGCATCCTTGAGGTGTTAATCCTACAGGCAAGGTGTTAATCCTACAGGCAAGGTGTTAATCCTACAGGCAAGGTGTTAATCCTACAGGCAAGGTGTTAATCCTACAGGCAAGGTGTTAATCCTACAGGCAGCAGTCCTGGAGGTTAACAGTGACCAACCAATCTATGTAATGTAGCTGTTACGGACGCCTCAATTTTAACCTCCTGAGAAATTGAACAAGGTATCCAGAATTTGCTCTGTTGGTTGCCCATCCAGGGTGTGACTCTTGAAGTCACAGGAGTAGTGAAATCAGGCAGCAGACCAACATGGTTTATTCTTTAATGTCTGGTTTAGATATTATACTTTTTTAATCATCCTTTCCTATCTCAACATCAGTCAGCAGGTTCTTTACAGAATATCCCTCTCCTTACAGCAGTCCTGAAAGTCTCTCTCTGTCTCTAGCCAACTCTTCAGCCCTATGTGCTTTCTTGGCCAATGAATCTTATGTGCCTTGTATCCACATTGACAGAGGTTGGCCTCTGCCTCTAGAAACTGTACCCTCTGTCACTGTTATTTTCCAGGGCTTCATTCCAGTTAGTATAGCCAAAATAACTCAGATTTTAATACAGGATACTGTGTAGACAGATGATCTCCAGATGGGTGTATCAGATGCAGGACATCTTGCTCATGATAGGAAGGTTTTCCGGAGGGTTGTTATGGCAGCGAGGTTCCGCGAGGGACATGCCACTGAATGAATCCTGTGAAGAGCCATTTCTTCTCGATATTTAGATCATGTTAGATGTTGATGTTTTTCTTATTCTTCGTTCTTACTCATTTAGTACACATAAGTACAGAAATTTAAGTATCTGGGCACATGGATAACATCAGATGGAAGATGCATAACTGAAATAAGAAACAGAATTGGACAGGCAAAAACTGCATTTTATAAAATGAAAAACATCTTGTGCAATATATCCTTGTCATTGAGAGTTAGAAAAAGAATTCTTGCTTGCTACATACATCCAGTTTTAACATATGGATGTGAATCCTGGACAATCGGTAGGCAGGCCAAACAATTTTTAGAGGCCTCAGAGATGTGGTTTTACAGAAGAATGCTTAGAATACCTTGGACAGCCAAAAAGAGCAACCAAGAGGTTTTAAAAGAGGCAGAAGACCGAAGACAACTTATCACTGACATCAGAAGGAGACAGTCATCATTTTTCGGCCATGTTATGAGAAGAGGGAAAATAGAACATGTTGTGACCACTGGAAAGATCTGTGGAAGGAGGGATAGAGGAAGACAACGAGAGAAGATGCTTGACAGTCTTGTTGCATGGCATGGAGGTGTGTCGGCACACGAACTGATACATGCTGCAGGAGATCGCGGATTATGGAGAGGCATGATCGCCCACGCCAGTCGGCAAGGCACCTGATGATGATGATGACTCATTTAGAAAGCCCAAATTATAATTTACTAGAAGTTTGCGCAGAGTACCTAGGATTTCTCTAGTTGGGTTCTTCTTCTTCATGTTCACCAGTGGAAAGTTCTGTTGTTCGTCCACCTCTGGGCTTTAGTCTTGTTCCAGAACCTGGCTGTTGCGTGCACATCCATTTTACATATCTAGCTTATTTCTATGCAGACTGTTGGTTCCTTGCCTCTGAGGCAGATACACTCCGACTTCAGTGGGAGTCCCCCAATAAGTCAACTCCTTCAACATGCTTGTGGGGAGACAGTGGGTCTGTTCTTGTTTTTCCCCACAATGGGTCCCAAAACCCACACAGGGATTTAATTGGATTGATATTACAGATGTAGCTTATCAGGTAACTGGTGTTAAACTTTCAGTTTTGAGCAGCCTGGTAAAGGAAGTCATTCAGTGAGTCATTCTTCTTCCCCATGCACTAGCTACTGTTCACCCATGAGAAGCAGATAACAGTAAACTTATAAAATGCCATGCATGTTGTAAGAGTGGCTAAGGAAGATCTGTACCATCTTATTCCTCACTGTTTGAGTAACGCAAATGCAGTGTGTCTGTTTACAACATAGCTGCGGTATTTGCACCTTTCAGCCGACACATCCTACTTCTTCAGGTATTTGTTACCAAGCTAAGCCTTCCCAGTTAGTTTCATGGGACATCACGGGACATATGTAGCCTCATTTGTATGGTGACTTTGTCAGCTTCTGATCCATAGGTGCAGACCTAAGACTTCCATTCCCTGCACGAATGAGCATCTTGCTTCTTCAGTCTGTTAAATTTCTCTCTTTGTCAAAAGCATCTTTTACATATGTATGTGCTTGGGCACTGTTTGCGACATTCATGGTAAGCATACGTCATGCATGACTTCCCTGTATGGTTGTTACACTCTGTAACATCATTGTTTCCTCATCATGTTACACTCTGTAACATCATTGTTTCCTCATCCCCATCATGTTACACTCTGTAACATCAATGTTTCCTCATCCCCATCATGTTACACTCTGTAACATCATTGTTTCCTCATCCCCATCATGTTACACTCTGTAACATCAATGTTTCCTCATCCCCATCATGTTACACTCTGTAACATCATTGTTTCCTCATCCCCATCATGTTACACTCTGTAACATCATTGTTTCCTCATCCTCATCATGTTACACTCTGTAACATCATTGTTTCCTCATCCTCATCATGTTACACTCTGAGAAGTGTGGCCAATGGTCACATATACTTGAACCTTTTGTATCATAAACTAGGATCTTTGCTGTTGTAAAGTAGAATACCTGATGGATGGATATTTGAACCATAGCAGCCGTATAAGAGTTTCAGTCAACAGAAACTGGAACCAGTGTTTGTCCTACAGTATGACTTTCCATTGACAGACGTTTGAACCTAAGTTTATCACCTAAGAGCAAAATCGAATTAGATTTCCTAAATGTTGAATCTGATTTGCAAAAGTAGGTTGAATATAAGTTACGAAGAGTGAAACTGATTTGCAAAAAGATTAATTTGATTTGCAAAAATATGAATCTGATTTGCAAAAGGATGAATTTGGTTTGCCAGTCCTGTATTAACATTCAGTTGTTCACATTGTTTTCTCATTGTTCACAGAACTATTTACGAATCTGTGGGAACCCCTATCGTCCTGTTACCGTTGTGAAGGAAGGACAGAAATGTCCTCAGTTTGCTGCCATTGCTGCTTGAATCTGATGAGAATTCACAAGCGATTGCAATTTAAATGTTTTTATTTTTTCATCACCAAATTGTCTGGTAGATGTAATTTAACAAAAACCAGGCCATTTGTTTAGTCAGTTTGTGTTAGGTTATCAACCTTGTAATGTTATTTCTTATATAATTGCCTTTGTAAAACATTCTTTCCATTCATCTTTATTTTAGTTCTTTAAATTGCATGGATCAGTCCTAGACTTAGCAAAAGTAGATAGTGAACAAAGTAGATAGCGGACAAAGTAGATTTTGACAAATAAAATACATTGCCAGTCAGTCTTAAAGTGGTAGGAGATGCCACTTCAGGAGAATAAATTATGTTTTCAGGATAATTAATCTTCCACATTTTTCTTGGCACAAAATCTTTCATCAGAATGAAAGAAACTAAATTACTTCTAACATCTCAAAACATAGAACAAGGTACAAAAAAATAACATCAGAGGAACTGTCTTGGTGGCCAGAGGAGCAGGAATCAAAACCTTGTATCTCCATCTAAATTGGTACAAGAGGATGTGGAAAAAAGATGAGGAAACATGGATTAAAATAACAATTTAATAGTACCTTGTTCGAACTATCAATATAGTGTTGGTACTTTACAGTCTGATGGATAATAGAAAGGTTTCCTAAAATGTATTTGCCTTGTTTAGTTCCTTACTAAAACCTCATTTTAGGGAAAACATTTTGATTGAGACGTAAAAACGCTTAAGAATACATTGGGATTAGCCAGTCAGATAAATCTAGGGCTTATAGATCAGGTCAGGTCAGTCCTGCTTTTAATTATATTTTCATGTGTACATGATTCTACTTACTTCCAAATTCTTGCTTTTATCAAATGGTGCTTTGGTTATTTTATATTGGTTTTCTTTTTACTGTTATTTTTTACATTTATTCTTATCTAGCTGTTCAAATTGTTTAAAGCCATATATTTTGGGGCCAAGAAACTATTCCTCAGATTATGAGAATCGCTACGTGAGTTCCGGAGCCCTGTTGTGGGTGAAAAAACAAGAATAGGCCTGCTGCCTTCCTAACAAGCATGTCATAGAGGTTGACTAATTATAGGTGTTTCCTTCAGAGATGTTTGACTCATTCCTAATTTATATGAGTATTTGTTGAGTCTGCAGAAAATTCTCTTTAGATCACATTTAATTAATCTGTGCTCCATTGTCATCACAGACACTTTGCACACACTTTCAGACTTACTTCAAATTTTCTACTTGCAATAAAGTTGCCAGACTTTGTAAAATAAAAATCCAAGTTGTTTATAACAGTATTTTTTAAATAAAGATAGGAACTAAATCTGGGAAGATTTAAAAAAAAAAAGGAAGAATAAGAGGAAAATGGAGCATCTGGCAACTCCGAGTTGCAATGAATTTATAGAAACCTTCCCTGACCATTAAGTTAATGTATGTCATGTTTACCACACTACCAACTTTCCTGTCCTAAAGCCCATTTAGATATTTATAACATCAATCGCATGCCATACATAATGAGTTACCGAAAAATTAGACTGATACATAAGTTTAACTAACTTACCCTTGTGATAGCTGCAACTGCCTCTCTTTAGCGAGGAATGATGAGGTTAGTTGGTATTGATGTTGATACTCACAAATCTTTTTTTCTTTAAAAAAAAAAATAATTATTTGGAATCTCGCCTGTGATTAGCCGTGTCCGTGTCTTTATGAGTCCGACTTGTAATTCCTACTTGTCACGGATCGAAACCTACTGCTGGCTGCGTGGATTTTTATCATGGTATGGGCAGCGCAGGTCGACCCAGCCTAAAATGGGTACCAGGATGTATGTCCTGGGGAAGTAAAGACGGCCAGCTTAATGCTGACCACATTACCTACCTAGTGCTGTTTGGTCTGTAAAAAAAAATGGGTACTCTTCCCATATGCCCTATGCGCCTTAGGGCGTGAAAAAGGGATCTTTACTTGTATCACCACCTGTGACTGTCTTCGCAGGGCCAAACTAAGTTATTATACAAGCCTTTTATGGCCTGCAGGCTATAGATTCTCCATCCTCGTCTTCATAGATATCTGGCTTGTAGCACATGCTTACAATAATGTCCATCATTGACAACACAGACACTCATATCTTAATAAGGTGTGCTATCATTAGGACAATAAAACAGAAAGATTAAAAATGCCTACACAAATAAGTTGAATGGAAATGGGCCATGAGGCAGACCAAGAAGTTTATGGAGAGATAATATACATGCTATCTTTGCCATTGTGGTCATCAATGTCTTTAAGCCTGTGTTGCAAAAAATCTTTTCAATTAAAAGAGTTTAAACATTTGCACTGACAAGCTCAGAATGCTGAAAAATAGTTTGGGCAACGTAATTTGCTAATAAAACATTCTCATTGTGTTCTGTATTATTGAATATTCAGCTTTTGCTATGATACTACTATACAAATAATATTTAACTGTTTTGCATGTGTTATAATTCTTAGTTTTAAATGATTACGTTTTACAAAAAACAAAAAAAAAGTTATTTGTAATTCATCTGTATCTACAACTCTTCTGTCAGATTGCAGATGTGTAACACATAACAACAGATAATTTGTAATTGATTCATATCTAACAATTTTTTAAATGCATCGAATCTAGTTAAATAAACATCTAACTAAAGATTGTATTAGAAAGGAAATGAGTCAGTTCTGTCTGCATTTTATATACACTATTTGTAATTAATTAATATCTAAAACACTTCTGTAAGAAGTAGTTCGCTGTAGCTACATTTAATAAAAGATGAGTTGTATTTTATTCGTATCTGATAGTTTTGGTTTTTATTATTATGTCAACTCTAGCTGTATCTGTACACAAGATATTTTGAATTTCTGAATAACTATCACATTTTAGTTGTAGCAGCAGACATGGTCAGTGTTTAACTGACAACAGAATTTATTGACTCTAACAAATTCATACCTACGATGCAAAGTGCACAGATTTTAAAAGAAATTACTTGCTTATTTATTTCTTGTGTATTAGTAGTACATTTCTGGGCTTTCCTGTGACAGCTTTTTAATTTGTTCTGTCCCATGGAATGCAGTGTGTGATTAGATATTGTCCAGGTATATCCGTCAACACTGATGTGTTTACTATATATTTTATATTTGCTCTGAGCTTATTAAAGAAATCTGGCCAGATTTTTAATATGTAGCATTGGAAATGCTTTTACCATTGTGATTATGAACAACCCTTAAATATGTGTTTAAAAAATTTGCTTTAAATCTGGGACCAAAAGAGTCTAAACAACTGCACCAGTTTTAATGAACCTTTATTTTGGCTGCCAAGATATGAATCCCCAGCCTATATAAGGATCCCATTTGTTGCTGGTGATGATGATATGATATTCATATAACTCCTGAATCTCTTTTTGAAACTAGGCTTCTACGGCCATACTGTCTGTCTGTCAAACACTCCACATTTCATTGTATGCACACACTGCCTTCCATTATATATAAATAATATTTAATCTTTCTGAATTAATTTTATAACTATATATTCAAGTATAACCTTTGGAATGATATGTTAATTGCAATTTTAGGCATGGTTTATGTGTAATAAAAAAATTCCTAGCGGATTTTGTGTGGATTATTTATTTTCCCCCTGTCTTCCCCAACATATTACTGTTTTTGGCCGTAAAAATTATGAATCACAAATGTTTCATTGACAGTACTTTGTTATTTGCTAGTTTAAAGATCACATTTTTCTTGATCTTTCAGTCTCTCTCACAGACCCATAATTTAGAAGGGAGAGAACACCACAGGGTTCTCTCACCAGAGGCTAAAAAACTAAGCTCATACTGAAGGTCTTATCTCTCTGTCTCATCTCTTTTCTTCTCAGCTATCATCTCTTGTATCCCCCAACATAACCACCAATAATGTAAACAGGAAAAAAAAAAGCCATAGGGTTTGATTTATCATAGGTTGAATATTCGGTTATAACCTTAGCGAGTTTTTCTTATTTTGGTCCCCCAGAGTAAAAAGCTAGTCAGCACATGGTTATAAACCGTAAGTGCTCTGCCACTAGTACGGACAGCTAATAATAAACTGTCCACCTATGTCACAAAACTCTGTAGCTACAACAACGCTTCTCCATTTACACCAGAGTGTAAACTCTGGTACCTATTTCCTAGAGGCTGGGTAAACCCTGGGAACCGTTCGGTTTCGAGCACCAGCCGTGGGCTGCAGCGAGTCGCAGCTGGATTTGAAAGCAAGTCTCTTATCAACTGCACTGCCACCCCCAGAGTCAGCAAAACAAATTTTTTTCATGGCACATATTGAACCAGATCCACGCATATCAGTGATTCTGTCCATTACCGCCGAAATATTTTCGATATTTTAATATCTGACAAACATCAAACAGCTGTGTTCCATGCCATCATGAACCAGACACACAAAAACATCTTGTTTTTACAAGAAGAAAATACTTTACCATTCCTTGATATGTAAAGATACTTGGGCTGGCCAGTTCCCATTCAATACAAACCTGGCCTAATAAGAAGCTTGTTTACTGTGCCAGAAAGATTTGTACTGAAGATACACGGGCAGCAGAAAATAAAACCATCAAGGCAACTTTACATCTAAATGGGTACCCCATAGGCTTCGTCAAACACCACAGCATCCCACCTAATTCAACCCCCAGTAAAATTACAGCTACAAAACTGCAGGCATTAATCCAGCCAACATTTAGAGGAGAGGATGTCATGCAACATCAGCAGGATCAACTAAATACGGTTGTCGGTCAAATGTTTTATTTGCCGCTGTCCCAATAGTAAGATGCAAGACCATTCTGATCCCTGTTGAAAAAATCAGTACTTCCGTACACCAAATCCAATTCTCAATTTACATGTGTCAGTTGACTTACATCAGTCGAATGGAGAGACAGCTTGAAAACGGAGTGGCTGAACACATACCTGAATGGCTCCACAAACAACTGAGTGAAGACCCTGCATCAAGATCAGCAACAAAGAG